AGAAAACAAAATTATCCTAGATAACGGCAACAATCAATAAAATTAATTAATCCACAATTAATAAAATCTAAGCCTGATAGCTATAACTCATAGAGATCCTGGATTTATTTTTCCCTAGTGCTATTCGAAGATGTCATCCTAGGCAGCCCAAGATACAATTTTTATCAATTTTTTCCTCATTCATAAGGCATGAAAAATCAGCTTTACTGGATATTTAGAGCATGTCTGTCCCTGGTTAAAATGTAATGATTTGGGGAAGAGGGTCTTGGGCAGGTGTATATATACATCTATGTATTTGTGTAAATGTGTGCACATGCATGCACACGGTATCCTAGGTAATCCCAGATGGCAAATCCTCAATACCCTTCTAAACGGGAGAGTGCCAAGATTGTTAGAAGGGAGTGATGGAAAATGCCAGGCTCATAAATCATCTCAAACCAATGTAATTTCATTGAAGACACTGTGCTTAGTACTGGGTCTTGCATATTATTGCTTTTCAATAATGTATTTTAACTGTGGGTGGGAGTATGCATAGAGAGGAGTGAGCGTCTGGCGGGGTAGGGGTGGAGGTGGGGGTGGGGCGGGTAAAAGTGATGCATACACAAATCTTCAGCAGTTTTCTTGATACCCAGACCCCAGGCCAAGCTTCAATCCGGATCTGACTTCCATGATTCTATTTCATACAATCTTAGACTGCTTCATCATTGGAAGCACATCCACACAAAGAAAAGGGTCATGGGAACATAGCAAGTCCACAAAAAATGCTCACTGAAGTAGCATGAATCGCTGAGTCACTGGATTGAAGAAATTAGTCTGGTTACTTTAAATTCATACTTAACAATGGACTTCCTTTTGAAAAAAACTTCTTAAGTTATTCTCTTTGTTACCAAACTTGGTTCAAATGCTTACAAATGATTCCAAAAATCAAATTCATGCTTTAATGGCCAGTATTTTCACCTATCAAATGTTATTTAAAAGCATGTAATGCTCTTAATGCTTTGAAGAAAGAGTTCCCATTAACATTCTGAGCATATATATGTATATGGGAAACTACTTTGATTACACCATTTCTAGGTTGTTTTAAGGAAAAAAAAATCCCCTGCCTTACTTAATAATCATGCCTTGCAAATTGTCAGAATACAAATTCTAGATCATCTAGCGAATCATAGAGCTACAGAGGTAACCCAAGTTCCTTCCTCTTCAGCCAGGCTGATCTAGCCAGTAAGTTTCTAAATCCATCAGACAGCAACCTCTTCTTCATACTGTCATCACAGTTATTGATATCGTGGCTGCAAAAATCACTTGTGCTTCTGAGACTCAGCCTTCAGAAATGGCCCTGAGTAGATTCCAGCAAGCATCTGGACGCCCCAGATGGCACATCTCAGTTAGATCTGGACGGAGCAAGTCACTGAGTCTTCGTGTTACCGACCGAAAGCCTGGGTGCGTCAGGAGGCGTCTCTCTGTGAGACTGCTGCTCTAGTACGAGAATCTTGAGACAGTAACAATGATGTGGGGAAAAGAGGAAGGGACCTGGGGGTGGGGGCACTCTCAGCTGGTGTGGCTAATGGTTCCATCTTCCCTGTGAACTTTTCATAATAGAAAATTTAAGCCCCTTTGAAAGCTGGGTTCTAACAATTCAACTCAAATGGCCTCTGATTTTACCTAAGAAGAGAGAATGCTAGCAGGGAACAGGGTTAAGAACCATCTCCAAGAACCATCAGCCCCAAAACCTATTGATAACACTATACTAATCAGATTCAACTTGAAAATAAGAAGGAAAGGAAATAAAATATATTCAATTCTTATCATGTGGTCAACATTATCCTAATATTATCTCATTTAATTCTCACAAGTCTGACATTATCCTTATTTCGTAAGTATGGAAAGAGACTCAGATTTAGAAACTTGCCCAAGGTAACCTAGGTGGTAGATGTTGGAGCTGTAATACAAAAAATAATCGGTCTTCTGCAAAGTCAGTATTCTTCCTACTGCATCATATTATGAGCCAAAAATAGCTCCGTAAATTGCTTTTAGAGAAAAGAGGCATTTAATAGACACCAGTGTCCTTGGATCAACTTTCAAGTATCAGCTCTAAGTTGAGTTCATTGAAAACCCCCAAAATAGGGGGTCCTAAGAGTCCCAGCACAGTGAAAACGTTTAGTTCTCGTGATAGGCACGGGCTCATTTAGGCCCTAAGCTAAGTCCTTTAAGGAATTCCCTTTGAACGTAACAGGAAGCTAAAGCAGACTACTTAAACTTGGAGAAGGTCCCCCTTGAATAGGATGAGATATGAAAACAAAACTCAGCTGGTATCCAGTGGAAAAACCAAAAGCTGGGACTTTTACAGACACAGTTAAAGCTGTTTTTAATATTCTAAGGTATTGCTTACCCTTCAAGACAATCAATCTGCTGAGTGCACAAGCTTCACAAAATGGGCCTACAGCCGAAGAGTCTGGTAGTTCCTGAGAACTGAGAGCCGTGTGGATGTGGGATGTGCAGAGGGTGAAGAGATGAGTAGAACAGAGCAAGAAGAGGGTCCAGACCCAGGGAAATGGTACAGCTGAGATAGTACCCTCGCTCATGACCCTGGGCCTCTGCTTCACTTAACTAAACCACCTTTCAGGACCCATGCAGGCAAAATCCTCTGCAGAGACCATCAAATAGATCCTTAGAAATCATCACTTTGGTTCCTTTCCAAATAGTGTTTGGGCCTCTGGTAGGAACATAACTGGTCTCCAGAATTGCAGCTGAAATGACCTGACATTTGTCCACTTATACCCTGACACTAGGAACACTTTGTGGTTACTTTAGAGGGAAAACTGAAGCGTTGGGAAGTGAGGAAAGTTACTGAAGAACACAAACGAAACTATGTCTTTGTTGCACAACTCTGTGAATAGCCTAAAAATCACTGAATTATACACTTTAAAAGGCTGGATTTTACGGTATGTTTATGTTTCAGTAAAACTGTTATTAAAAAAAAAATCATGACATCTTCTGGGGCAATGCTTTTGACAGATAAGTAGGATTCCTGCCTACTGTTAGCTCCTAATTTATTTTGATCAAGCATGGTTGAGCGCCTCCTATGTGTAAGACACTGTGATAGATGTTATAAGATATTTTAAAAGGGTCTTACAATAATTATATGGTTACTAAGCATTTATTATACGCCAGGTAGGTACTAAGGAATTTCACAAATTACCTTAAGTAATCTCCACCAGTGAGGTATGTATTGTTATTCCTACCTAACAAACACCTGACAGGTAGGTGTTATAAATATTGGAAAACTGAGGCTCAGAGGATTTAGCTCATTGCTCCTGGAGCACAACCAGCAAAAGGCAGAGCTGAAATTTGAATTCATATCTCTCTGACTCCTAAGCCTATACTTCTATCTAGCACACTGTGCACGTCAGAAGAGGAAGAGAGACCTGAACACAAAGAATACGAAAGACTGAGTGGCAGAGCTGAAAGCAGAGAAATTATGGGACTAGTTTCAAAGTTCTAAACTAGGATCCTGAAGTTGTGGTGCAAGGATGGCTTTAAAAATCTGTTTCAGTGTGGAGTCTGGGGGTCTGAAAGTCCTCCTGCCACGAGAGTCGCCTCCATGAAAACAAGCACAATTCCAAAAGGTGCACACAACTGGAAATGACCATAATATCCAAGGGACAGCACCACTTTCCACGTGGTTGTCTTGGTGGTCTGGGACTCCCTGGCTAGGAGAGCAGTGGTATATCCATTACCATTTTGTGAGCAGGTACTTTCTAAGTGTTAACTAAGTTCCAGACACTGTCTAGATGGTGTGGTGAATAAGATAAGATGGCTCCCCTGAAGGAGCACCCAGACAGGAATTGATTGTGCCCATAAATGTGGTATATGTGTGATTAAGTGATAGGCTTTAGCAGCGGACAATCACGAGGTGTGATTCCAGACAAATTATTCCCAATTTCTCTATGCTTTCATTTCCTTATCTGTAAAATGAGAAAGACAATAACACTGATCTCAGCGGGTTACTGTGAAGAATAGATATATAAGCATGTGAACACATCATGTCTAGAAGATTCTGGGCACTTGATGAATGACGGCTGCTATCTTCATCAGCATTAGAGCAGCAGCATCACCTGGTGGAAAAGTACAGAGAAGCTGACTTTCCGTGCTTAATACAGCTTTCTCATTATTTTTGCTTCCGTCAGGCAATATATTTGACATCTTTTATGTATATTAATGACATTTTCCCAAGGGTCTAGGGCCTAAGCTGCCAGACTACCAATGAATAGCAGAATGATGCAAGAAATTCCAAGAAGAAAGACCACGCTTAATTTCACCCTGAACACTTCTGAAAACATTACTTTCAGGTATGGCCCGTTAACATATTTTTATGGCCTAGAAGAGAGCCTTCACGGGGCCAGAGGATATGGTTTTTCCTTTCCCTGGCTGATAACACTCTTTTTATTGCATTTTCATATATTTTGTTTTTGGGTGGAACTGACACTTCTAAAACTGCATAATTTTCGCCTAATAGGTGCGTGTAATAGATACACAGAGGTAAGCTAGTATAATGGCTGAAAGAAAGGGGATTATGATAAGGTAGATATAGGTCAAACCCTAGTTCCTTCACCTACAATCTGTGTGACCTTGGAGAGGACTCTTAGAACCTGTTTCTTCATCTGTAAAATGAAATACAATAAAAATCTCACAGAAATGTTGTGAAGATTAAAGGAGATGATACTTAAAAAGTATTCACCACAGTATCTAGCACATAGTAAATTCTCAATAAATAGTAGTTATTATTATTGCAAAAAGACATGAATTAGGTAAGCTTAATGGCCCAGGTTCATTTTCGATTAAATAAGCATCTATTGCACACCTGCCAAGTAATCTTACACTTTGCAACTTTTTCCAGGTACTAAAGGGAACGAACTACCCATGTCCTCTAAAACACAGTCTCTGCTTTTCAGAAGTGGATGACCCTAATAAAAAGCATCCTGAAACATGTCCTCATCCTGGAAAGTAGGCTGGTACCAGCCTCTCTGCAATCATCTCAGAGATGAGAATGTGAAGAAGTGGGAAGTTAATCGTGGACAGAGGTGGGGTTAGGTTTGGTTGAAATGAATCAGTCCATCCCACAGAGGGCAGCACCCACACGTTAGCTATATAAGAGCCACCATCTCAATCCATTGTCGCCCTGCAAGCTGCATCAGGCTTTATTCTACTTGTTCCTTTGGTGAACCAGGTGAGAGAAAATTCATCCAGCTCCAGCAATGGATATTCGGTTGGTTGTTGTCGAAGGCAGAAATCCAAGAGTATGAGCTAAGACAGAGTTAATATGTATTTGGCCTTCTTTCCTTCCCCCTTCCCTTCCTTTTGTTTCTTTTTCCTTTTCTTGTCTTTTCTCTTTGTTTGCTTATTTGTTTGGTCACTGTAGTTTATTCCAGGGTCTTTTTAGAATAAATTTGTTGTTGTTGTTGTTGAGAAGAATAATGTAACTAGAAGTTTGCCCTCTTCTAGGCCATTTCACACTCTCTTCCCAGGCTTTTTTCTGGGTTGTCTGGCTTAAATAGGGAAAAGACCAGCACTGTTATAGTGTCCCATCCTTGTTCAGTGTCAATTTCCAGAGCTCCAAGATCTAATCATCCACTAGTCAAACTACTGCTTACATGGCCGAACCTTTTCCCTGATTATTGAAAGAGAACAGTGTTTGGTCAAGGCTGAAATTAGGATTTTCCTGAGCTATGATAAAGGCTAGCTCATGCTTCTGAAGCACCAGGATAGTGTTGACACACTTTGCCCATTTTTTACTTGCTAAATGCCTTAACAATCCAGTTTAGCTTCTGGTACTCAGAGAGGAAATAGATATGTTACTTTTGACTCAAGAAAACCAGTGAAACTAGCCAGAGAGACTGGGGCAATACATCTTTGGTTCTACAAACTTTGGAAGCTCCAGGACAACATACAGAACAGCAAAGTACACAAAGTGTAGAGATACTGTGTGAAGAATGTGTTCATCCAGGACACGGGGATCTGAGATCTGGTCCTAGTTCAGTCAGTAACATGCCATGACTTTACCTTAGCAAAGTAACTCAGAGTTAACAAAGGTTTCAGTGTGTTGCAGGGTGTTAGATCATCCCTGACCCATCCTGATTTGCTGAGGTATTTTAGGGTTAAAAGAGACAAGATATTTGAAAAATCATGATGATTATTATTAAAATCAGAACTGCTTATAAATTAAAAAAATAAAACGAATGATAGCTTCTTTTGTGTGTTTTTTCCTTCAGGTTTACATAAACTTGCAACAAGATGACCGATCTCTTGAGAAGTGTTGTCACTGTCATTGATGTTTTCTACAAATACACCAAGCAGGATGGGGAGTGTGACACACTAAGCAAGAATGAACTAAAGGAACTTCTGGAGAAAGAGTTTCGTCCAATTCTGAAGGTGAGGACTGAAAGCTGTTAGGGTCTTATACATTCTCTGTTCTATGACCAAAGATCAGCTAAAAAGGGCACTGTCCCCATGGTCTTTGAACTAATTCTATGAGCGGTACTTTTTTGGGACGTCAGAAAGTCTGTTGAGGCAGTATTTATTTTTAGAAAGGTGAATGCTTTCTTTCCTGTGCACTCCCACCATGCAGACCCTTGGGCTTTTTCATGCGCTTAGGTTTTTCCTTCTGAAAAAGTAGAAAAGAAGTTTGAGCTAAGACACCAGTTTATAAATTACCCTAGCAAATGAGGAAGGAAAGGTACAGAGAGGCGAAACATCTGCAAGGGGGAGTTGATCAAATAGCCAGGATGACTAAAATCTGAGAACAAAATAAAATACAAGCATTTTTTTCATCTACTTGAGAAGGACTCGGCTATTAGCTTCAAAATAATTATAGATCATAGCACAGACTATATTAGCATGCAAGGCGTGACATGTATGTAAATTTGAAATACACCAGGTACTGAACTTTGTTCATGCAACTCCTTTTTGTGTGTCGTACCTGAGTACCTAGTCCTCTAGCTTAAGTCCTTGAACTGTATGCTGCTGAGGATCCCAGCAGTCTTTATTCTCTTCTATTACCTCTTCTCACCTGCTGGGTCTTATTAGGCTGCCTTAGCCTAAAATATTTCTTGATTGGATTAAACTGCCTAATGTTAAACATCTCAAGTCCACAGCTCTACCTGATTATTTTAGCTGAGTATATAGACTAAGCTGACCAGGTCTCCTTTGGTATGTTGCTTGTATACAGAACCCAGATGATCCAGACACAGTGGATGTCATCATGCACATGCTGGATCGAGATCATGACCGAAGACTGGACTTCACTGAGTTTCTTCTGATGGTATTCAAGCTGGCCATGGCCTGCAACAAGGTTCTCAGCAAAGAATATTGCAAAGCTTCAGGGTCAAAGAAGCGTAGACATGGTCGCCGACATCATGAGGAAGAAAGTGAAACAGAAGAAGAAGAGGATACATCGGGACAGAAATCAGGTTACAGACATTCAAGTTGTAGTGAGAGAGAAGAGCATGGGTATAATTCTGAGGGCTCAAGGGGAACTGCAAAACATAGACATGGGTCCAGCTCCAGGAGGCTGCGAGGAAGAGGGGGTTTATCTAGCTCAGAGAACCAAAACGGATCTGAAAAAAGGCGCCATAGGTCTAGCTCTGGTCACTCATGGAGTAGTGGCAAAGAGAGACATGGTTCAAGCTCTGGAGAGCTGGGAGAAAGAAAGAGCAAGTCACATGTTAGCCCCTCCTGGGAATCTGGGGAGGAATATGGATCTGGATCTGGATCAAAGAGTTGGGGAAGGAAAGGTCATGGTGGTCTGTCACATGGATTGGAGGCTAGTGAACAGGAATCAAAGTCTACTCAGTCAAGGAGTGCAGGACAAAAACTTGGGTCTAGCTCCAGAGGTTCAGGAGATGGTGGAAGGCAAAGCCATGCAAGTGGTTCCAGCAATTACAGTGGGTGTGGAAAGTCACAAACTGCTTCTAGTTCTTGTCAGGCAGGTAGATTTGGAGGGCAAGGATACCAATCTAGCTGTACCCAGTCAGGTTATCAATCAGGAAGCAGTAGAGGACAAGGTCATGGATGTCTCTCAGGAGGCCAGTCCTCTGGATATGGTCAATATGAGCCTAGATCCTGTAGCCAGTCTTCTAGTCAGAAAGGATATGGGTCTAGAGCATGTGGAGGACAACAGGGAACAGGTTCAAGTCAGTCCTCTTGCTGTGGGCAAAATGAGTCTGGAGGAAGTCAGTCTTCTAATTATGGTCAACATGGATCTGGTTCTTGTGGATACTCTTCAAACTGTCAAAAAGGGTCAGGTTCAAATGAATTTTCCAAATGTGGTCAACGTAGATCCTGCTCAGGTCAGTCCTCTGGCTTTGGTCAACATGAATCAGGCTCAAGTCAGTCCTCCGGCTTTGGACAACATGGGTCAGGCTCAGGTCAGTCCTCTGGCTTTGGACAATGTGGGTCTAGCTCACATCAGTCC